AAGATGGAACCAAGGTCAAAAGAAACCAAAACAAAAATATTTGAACTAAAAGGGTAACAAACATGTACAAGCATGAAATGTGGTATAATTTTAATACTCCCCCAATAGCATAAGGGGGAGTATTATGTAGGGTTGGAACTTTATAAAATAATTACTTCACCCTCACTCGAAAATGCTGTTTTGCTGGAAAACCCATATATCTAGGACCTTGACAATTATGGATATGGAAATATAATAATTAAACTTCAAACCCAAATAGTAAAAAGATCTTGAACAAATAGTCTACTTTGTAACTTTCTTTTTCGGCCGCGCATTTCATTTGGTTACAAATCTTCTGTATATTTGTATTATTTTTTTAGCTTCAAATATCATAGTCAGAGATAAAAGTACATTTTTAAGATATCGCAACATTTTTCAATGTTGGGGTTTTTTTGGTAAGTAAAGTTTTGAGGTACTGCTTTAACAAATATAATTATGTCATAGCCCTAAAGAAACCTTTTTCAAAGTATAAATATACAAAAGTAAATTTCCAATATGAATAATGCAAATCTTGTACTACTACAATCTTACGACTAATTGTAAACTCGCATCCTTCTTCAATAAATAAAGGGACATGTATCAAAATACCCCCAATTTATCAATTATTTAACATTTGATCCATTTTCAACTATTTCAACATATAATTGTGATGGGCTTCCGTGATGAGCTTCTTAACTTGATGGTGGAGTGATGATGATCAAAGGCTATTAGCGGAAATTCATTATATTAAAATCTTAGCGTATGAATAAAAATGATAAAAAATTAAGATAATATAAAAATGCCAACAATAATGCTAAAAAAATAGTAAGAAAACTAAGTTTAAGGTATCTAATGATCTGTACAAAAAATAAAAAATTGAGTATAAGAGAAGGTAAAACAAAATGTCTCTAAATTCGCAAAAATGAGATAAAGGAAGTGTAGGGATCTACATCATATTAAATACATTAAAAATAGAGATCAAAGAGTCTAAGTGGAGGAAGACGAGCTCAACAAAAGAAGGAAATTTTATTTTCAAAAATTGCTAAAGATGGCTACTGAAGAAGAGCCTTTGACATTAATGAGGCCAGATATCATAGATGCATTTGTGAGATTAGGATATTTGAAGTGAAAATAAATTTTTAGAAAGATAAAGATATAAAAGGCTTTAGGACCAGATGGCATCCCAATAGAGGTTTGAAATGCTTAGGAGATATTGATATATCCTGGTTGACCAAGTTACTCAATAGGATTTTGAGAACAAAGAAAATGTCAAACAAATAGAGAAAAAGTGTGGTGGTACCTCTTTATAAGAACAAAAGAGATATACAGAATTGTACAAACTATTGAGATATCAAACTTATGAGCCACAATATGAAACTATGGGAGAGAGTGATTGAGTAATGACTGTGACATGAATCGAATGTATTAAAAAATTAGTTCGGGTTTGTGTTAGGGACGTGAAAATTTAAGCTTATTTTCATATTTAGACAATTGATTGAGAAGTTTAGGTAGAAGAAAAATGCCTCTTCATGATCTTTATGGATTTAGAGAAAAGATATGATAGAAAACCTAGAGACATAATTTAGTAGGTGTTAGAAAAGAAAGGAGTCTCTAGAAGATATATTGACATTGTAAGAGATATTTAACGAGGGAGTACTAACTAGTGTGAGGACTCTAGTAGAGAGTTTTCCGTAACCACATGCCTATATCATGGGTCAATGTTGAGCTCATATCTCTTTGTTTTGGTTATGGATAAGTTAACTAGGTATTTATAGGATCAGATATCATGGTGTATGTTGTTTGTGGATGACATATCTTTGATTGATGAGACTAGAGATGGTGTCAACATAAAGTTAGAACGTTTGGGGGGGGGGGGGTGGTCTAGAATCTAAAGGTTTTTAAAGTTAGTAGGACTAAGACAGAATATATGGAATGCGAATTTAGTTATAATAAGAGTTGGAACAAGAAATTAATTAATTGAAAGAAGTAGCTAAAAAATATTATTTTTGATATCTTGGGTCAATAATTCATGATAATAGATTAATTGACGAAGATGTCACATATAGAATTAGAGCTAGGTGGACAAAATAGAGATGTGCTTCTAGAGTCTTATGTGAACGTTACATACCAGCTAAACTGAAAGAGAAGTTTTATATGATAGTTGTAAGACCAGTCATACTTTATGAGATGAAATTTTAGGCCATATTCATCGAATAAATGTAGTTGAGATGATGATGTTGATATGGATGAGTGAAAAGATAAAAAACCAGAATTTGGAATGAATACATTACAGGGCACTTAGGGATGACTCTAATAGACGATAAGATGAGGAGAAGTAGACTTGTGTAGTTTAGCCATATACAAAGCCAACCTAGAACAACACCAGTTAGGATATGCCATTTTATTTAACTGGAAGGCTATAGAAGGGTAAGGGAAGACCCAAAAGGACATGAATTAAAATAATTAGAAAAGATATTGTGACCAATGATCTTATTGATGGTACGACCCTTGATAGAGCAGAAAGATAGAACAAGATTAGTGTAGCCGAACCTAAATAGTTGGAATAAGGTTCAAGTGATGATGATGAACCTTGAAGAAATTTTCAAAATTAAGTAAAAAAGAATGTAACAGGTTAAATTGTTCATCTTTTAAATACATTTTGATTAATCTCCAATTAATGAATCCGAAACAAGGACCTCCTAAGAAAAAGGCATGCAGTCCAAAGAAATGCAAATGTGGTGAATCCAAATAAATGGCGATACAAAATGTTTTACAAAAGAATCCCATCGAAACCTAGGAAAATTTATCATCTTTTCCTTTTACTTAGGAAATTGGAAGCATTTCATTCTTTGTATCATGAGTGGATCCAACCTTTGACTCTTTTTTCTTTTTCTTAGAAATCGATAGGCATTACAAATTTTCTAATGTTAAGACACCTTTCCTATATGGAAAGATAAAAAGAACCTTATCTTGTTTTCTTTTATTTCCCTAAAAAGAATAAGAACGAGAACGAGAGAACAAGAGATAGAAAACTACTTCATGTTAGAGAGAGAGAGAGGTGTGTCTCTTTAGTCCATGTTGGGGGTGTGTCCAACTGATTCATGTTTGCCACCAAAACTAGAAAAAATATATAAGGGTGCAGTTTGCATACGGATGCATATGTTGGTGTAGACGTAAGGTGCACCTTTAAATTTTATCATAGTATATAATTTTGATATAAAATTTTTTCAAGGATTATCTCAAAATCTATTTTTATATCTCATTATAAACTTTTAAATTTAAAAAATGGTTAACATCAAGTAGATCCATAAACACATGAAAATCTTGAAAATAGACGGTGTAGATAATATATTGTAAAAAACACTATTTTTAAGACTCAAAATCTTTTTATTTTTTATAGTCATACATCTCGACAGAGATGATCAATCAAAGGGTTTTTCAACATTAAAATTACATTTTTCTATAAATATTTGAGAGGCATCATTATAAGATAGCATTTTTATACAAACTTTTTCCAATATCTACCTTATATAAACTTTTTCCAATATATAATGAGAGGGGGAGAGAGAGAAGGAGGGTGGGACGGTGGTATGGGTGCGTTTTTTAGCATTAATGAATAAAAGCGCTCACATGGCAACCACATTTGCAAATTGAAAGGTTTTGTTTCCTCCTTTACCAATCATCTGCCCTCCTCAATGACGACTCCTAGTTTTAGCGTTGGGATGGCAGTTGGCCGGTTGACCCAACCCGGTCCGGTCACTCGGGCCTTAAAACAATTAAGGCTTGGGTAACAAAATGTGGTTTAAGGGCTGTGCCAGGGCAAAGCAACCACAACTCAAGGGTAGAGTTGGGTTGGGCTTGCGCTAAGATCGGCCCAGCTCAACCTAACTTTTTTTTTTTTTGTAGTTTTTGTTTTTATTTTTTATTCTTAAAGCTTGGGCCTAGGCAAAACCTATTAGTATTGGGGGCAAGCCCGACACGGCCTAGGATCAGCCAATTGCCAATCCTACGTGAATGTTGCTTATGAGTTATGACCCACATCACATCGTGCTAGAAAGCAAGCCAAATACAAGTCACAGACTCGCGCATTATCTCGCTCTAAGAAGTAGTGACATACAATACTTTTTCCTCTACCCACACTCTTATGTGTCATCCACATAACCACCCGATCTCTCTCTCTAAAGTCCAGTTCTTGGGACCAAGACATGATAGTGAATGAAACACTTCTCTCTCTCTCTCTCTCTCTCTCTCTCAAGCGCAAGGCAAATAGGGACTCATTCGTCCTCGCTCTCTCCCTCGCAAATGTACCCCCCACGCTATATATGATACTTATGTTGAAAAAACTTTGACAGAAGAGATTGTCTCATTTTTAGGATTAAAAGTAGTGTTTTTATATTATTGATCATAAAATTCAGGTTTTTATTAGAACTGTGAGCACAATATAAATTTCTCTATACCTTTTCATGGCCATAAATCCTTTTTAAAAAGGGATGGAGGAGGCCGTTCTCCAACGTTAAGCTTTTTCATGAAATCTATGAGAAAACGTCACTATGTAATTTTGAAAAGTAGGTGGTTACCTTCCAACAGTTAAATAACATAATTTTCTCTCTCTAAAAAACCTCCGTTTTTTTTTTTTAATGATATACATTAAATTATACAAAAAAAAAAATATTTCACCCTTAAAAACCTCAAGGCCACCACCTACCAACAACATGGTCACCCTTTCTCTATCTAAATTGTGGCCTCCATGCTTTCTCACAACAAAAACTGAACTCTCTCTCTCTTCAAGCCAAAAGTGTCTCTCTTGCAAAAACTCTCTTCAAGGCTTCAAGCCAAGGCTCGCTCTCTCTAAAAGTCTCCCTTCAAGCCAAAACTCTCTCTCTCAAAGTCTCTCTTCAAGCCAAAACTCTCTCTCAAACTCTTCAAGCCAAAACTCTTACTCTCTCTCCTATACATCGAGTAAAAAAAAAATTGCACTCCTCAGGCCAGGCCGGGGTCTCTCTCCTACGTTCCTCCTCAAGCCAAAGCCAAAGCCAAAGCCAAAGCCAAAGCCAAAACTCTCTCTCTCTCTCTCTCTCTCTTGGCAGAAACATATTTGAGTTAAATTAATGGACTATTCAAACTCGAGCCGTATAAAACGGAAATCACTAAGCCCACACTGATCACTCGCTTAATAGTAACACACTGCCTGACACTCACCTCTCACCTCCTTCACGCCTCTGTTTCTCACTCCCTTCACGCCTCTGTTTCCTCATATATTTCCAGCTTTTCAAAACCTTTTAACTGTTAGGGTTCTGATTCCTTCTTCACCCGCTTTTTCATTTCAATACCAGACAACCTCCTCCATTACCTTAGCAATGCTCTATCAAATCTCCAAGAGACCCTGAAAAAAAACCCATTTTTCAGAACCAATCAACAATGGGTGAAACCCATTTTACAGTATCAATGTTTCTGTTCATTGGGGTGAGCTTTTCCTGTGTTTTAATGGCGGAATCTGGCATTGGATTCAATTGGGGGACTCTCTCTACTCATAGACTTCCTCCCTATGTTGTGGTGAACCTTTTGAAGGTTAATAGGATTCAAAAAGTGAAGCTTTTTGATGCTGATTCCTATGTTTTACAGGGTTTAATGGGCAGTGGGATTGAGGTAATGGTGGGTATTCCAAATGAGTTATTGCAGGTTTTGGCTTCTTCACCAACTGCTGCTGATTCATGGGTTCATGACAGTGTTGTTCGCTATGCTGTTAGAGGTGGAGTTGATATCAGGTTGGTGTTTCATTTTGTGTTTCTTCTCTTGCTTTTCTTCTGTGTATTTTTATTTTCTTTCTTTTTTTCTCCCTTTGTGTTCTTCTTGCGTTTTGTTTATTTTTCTTGTGATTCGGTTTCAACGGTTCTTGTTTGATGTGTAATTTGTGAAATATTTGTTGACTTGATTATTTTTTCTGTTGATTTTCTGGTTTCTTATTAATTTTCTCCTCATTTTTTGGGTGTATTCTCACTTTGATGATTTTTTTGTTTTAAAATGTGGCATTGTTGATTTTCTTTGTGGATTTGTTCTCAATCGATGTGGATTTTGTTTGATATAGTTTGTTGAATCATTAATTCATATGAATATCCTTTGTTAAATTTCTTACCTTGCTCATTGATAAGCCCCCACTCCTTCTCCTCTTGTACATGATTTGTTGATTTATGTTGATTTAATGAGTGGCACTGTTCTTTCTTAGTTTTGTGGATTTTGTTTGATGTATCTTGTTCGAATATTCAGTTATTTGGACTAGTTGATAGTTGAATTTTAGGTTTCCTTTTTATTAGTGAGACCTGTGTTTTCTACATATTTTTGGGTTTTTCCATTCATCGTGATTTTTATTATTCTGTACCAATTTTTAATCGGCCTTGTTTGTTTAACTCAATGAACTTCTGATCTGCAATTCTCTACCTTTGTATTGACATGTTTGTCGAGCATATTTTGAATGAGCAGGGAATCAAACATTAATTCTACTGCCACAACCAAGGCTGGAATTAATCTCTCCTCCAATGTAGTGGTTACCTAGTGTTGGGACCATACTTACCTGCAATGATCCTAGACCTCACTGCAAAGATTTTCAACCACTCCCTTCCTTCTCTACTGCATATCCTTGCATGCTTGTCGAACTTCACTACATGAAACTTGCATCCTTTCTATTTTCTTCAATAGAACTCCCATCAGATTCTTTCACTGAAGTTCTCCTTGTTAAGTTGGTATGGGAAATGGAGAGAAAAAGAGAGTCACCCGAAGATGTATATGGCAACAAGATCTGGGGAAGTGAAATGACACGGAGAGGATAATATATTGGGAGTCTGATAGGCACGTGTCTCTCTATTCCTGAGGGTGATGGCCCCTTCATGGATGGAAATCAGGTTCATTTGTCTTGATGTAACGGGTGTGTAGATTGGTTATACTTAAGAGTACTTTCAATTATGCATTGAAAGATTAGTGCCCAGGGCACTGTACAAATTCAGTGTCATTGTTGGGAAGGTGGTAGGCTCTCTTGGAACAGTCCTTGATGTTTATTTTACCGGGTGATACTGGTCGAGTTTAAGATAACAGTTCATTTTATTATACTTATAGAGAGTTATGAACAGTTATTTATCGTAAAAAATATGTTCATTTGTGGTGCAATTTAAAAGTAAAAAATCTGTTAAAAGTGTAACATATATTCTTTTCCATGATATTACTCTTTCTTTTGAGACAAGGCTTAGTAGGGAAAAAAAAGGGTAAAGTTGGTATGTCCTTATGTTATTCCTATAGAATGGTAATAGTGACTATAAAATGGTAATAGTGATTACTTTATTGTAATTTGATTGTAATTTATTGGTGTAATTTTGCTGCATCTACTTTCTTATATCTTTTCATGTCATTGTTAACATGCATGAGGTCCAGACAAGGAATCAGACCAAACAAATGAACTTGTAGTCTGTTATTTTTGCATTCTGAATATTATTTGTTGGGCCTAATCTAATCTTCCTACTTTAGTGGATTAAGTATTTTAGCATTTTATATCCGTTACCTTTGCAAAAAATGAATGCCTAATTTGTTAAATTCTCTTAACAGGTACGTTGCCGTTGGAAATGAGCCTTTCCTCACTAGTTACCAAGGCCAATTCCAGTCTTATGTCCTCCCCGCTGTTGTCAACATACAACAATCCTTAACAAAAGCGAACCTTGCTGGCATTGTAAAACCTGTAGTCCCATGCAATGCAGATGCATATGAAGCTTCCTTGCCCTCACAAGGAACCTTTCGACCTGAGTTAACTGACATCATGACCCAACTTGTCTCTGTCCTTAATAAAGCAGGCTCCCCCTTTGTAGTTAACATTTACCCATTTCTTAGCCTCTATCAAAGCTCTGATTTTCCACAGGACTATGCTTTCTTTGGAGGATCTTCTCACCCTTTGGTAGATGGCCCAAACGTATACTATAATGCGTTTGATGGAAATCACGACACATTAGCTGCAGCTCTAAGCAAGATCGGGTTTGGGCAGATGCCAATTGTTATAGGAGAGGTGGGCTGGCCAACCGATGGGGCATTGAGTGCTAATATCAGTGCTGCTCGAGCCTTCAATCAAGGTCTCATAGACCATGTCTTGAGTAACAAAGGGACCCCGTTAAGGCCTGGAGTCCCACCTATGGATATCTATCTTTTCAGTCTTTTGGATGAAGGGCAAAAGAATATAATGCCTGGCAATTTTGAGAGGCATTGGGGTGTTTTCTCCTTCGATGGACAGGCTAAGTACCCTTTAAACCTCGGCTTGGGTTATAAAACTCTGAGAAATGCTGATGATGTTCAGTATTTGCCTTCTCGATGGTGTGTGGCTGACCCCACTAGGGATTTGGCCTTGGTTTCAGACCACATAAAGCTAGCTTGCAGTGTTGCAGATTGTACGACTTTGTTATACGGGGGTTCTTGTAACTCAATTGGGGTGGCAGGAAATGTATCTTATGCTTTCAATAGTTATTATCAGGTGAAGAAACAGGATGCTCGAACCTGTGAGTTTGATGGGTTGGGAATGATTACTTTTCTAGATCCAAGCATTGGAGACTGCAGGTTTCTGGTTGGAATTAATGATTTTTCAGGGTATGGCTTTAGGAGTCAGTGGAATGGATGGATTGTGTCGTTGGTTATTGTATTTCTAGGTTTTTGGGGTGCTCTGTAATGTGTAGGGATGGGGTTTTGCATATGGTAAATATAGAGTTTAGGACACAGTAGACACAGAGAGTGTTATACACAAGTTCCAGAGTTTGTATAATGGATGATAGTCTTGTGGGTGGTTGTATTTCTCGGGTTTTGAGGTGTTGTGTGATGTGCTAAATAGTGGGGTTTGCATATGGTTGGCATAAAGAGTTTTGATATAGTAGACAGAGAGTCTTATAGTCAGTGTAATATATGGTGGTCTTAAATAGGGAAGTGGGTTTAAGTATGCATCAGATAGTCATTTAGACAGTCAATGAGCTTATTATTAAGTATAGAATGTGAACTTAATATTCAGAAAGGTTCCTGGGTTATTATCAATGATACGGATTGGTTACTAGTACAGCAGGAACAAGCATTTGATTCATGTCACCATGGATAATTTTCCATTTCCCTGCACAAATTAACGTGCCTATGAGGAGGAACATGAAGCAATATGGAGGCCATTTCCTCTGCTGCTTGTTCAGTAAGAAAAAGGTTTACCACTTTTGATATGTGTTATGTTGAATGAACTATGGAAAAGCTACAGATGGGTTCTATGAGTGGATTACATTTGGAAAGATGGTTAAAAATAGCTGTTATTCATCTTCTCTTGTTCCCACTTTTTATCCTTGAAGTTGGCTAATTCCTGTTAATTTTAATTACTTGAGGCTAGCTTATGATGGTTTTATACCATATTGGAAATGGCACCATGTTATATAGTAAACGTAACTCATCTAAAATATTATGTCTTTCTGAGCAACAATAGCATCCTCTAAGCCATCTTTATGGCTTGTGAGGCAGTTCTTTTGAAATTTGGTGCCTAGCACACACTCAGGTCCGCTTTTTTTAATAAATGCTTTGAACTATGCAGTGTTTTATTTGATTCATCCCCTCTTGGATCATTATTTGAGTATTCATTTTGTATTCATTTGTATAAATGTTTTTGGGTTTTCTCTATCCTTTTTTTTAGTTCTTTTCTTTTCATTTCTTATAGCTTATGATTGCACTTCTGTGATAGTTCTTTTCTTTCTGTTCATCACTGATGTTTAGGTGATGACATTGTTTCTTTTCTTCTTGTTTATAATCATTTATAATCACTCATGTCGCATTCTTGAACATGCGGGCACGAACACACACACAGATCACTGGATTTCTAGACCCACTCTTGTTTCTAGACACCAAAAAAGGAAGAAAGGAAGATAATTTGAATTACAAAATCTCAAAGATGAACATGGATGTGCCCAGCAGCAGCGAGACTGCAGTAGAATATGCCTTGATTTGTCACATCTTTTTTTCACGTTTTTCGTCCAAATTCCTATCAACTACTTGCACTTCGAAAAACTTCCAAGAATGGTTAGAAAACAAATAGAGAACAGAAGCGTTCACCCCTGGAAATTTCTTCAATACCTTTTTTGCCTCTCTCTCATTTGGCCAAGTTAGCTTGGATTTTAATCTCCGATTTGCTACTGCATCCTTTTGCTCCCAAAAACGAAGACAAGGACAGGAAACCCGAGCACTTCAAATGTGTGCAACCCAATTGCGCATCAATGACATAAAATACTTTGATTTGCTTGACTTGTTGGACTTTGTATAGGTCTTCTCCCGCATTTGGTCTCAACCTTGTTATGAATTCATCTGACATGTCTCCTAGATGTAAAAAATAGAGTGAAGTGCGGTGTATAAAACTTCCTAACATCTTCAACTTCTTGCATTGAGCGATTACAAGGTTTTGGAGGAGGCATGCATACCTCTTGTATCTCTCCATACCATCCTAGTTCTTCAAAGTTCTCAAATGCAAGATGGGTAAGTTTGGGGAATCCATAAATACCATCACTCCCCATTGTATGCCTTAGAAACCAAAAGTTCAGCTAAATCGGGCAATTGACTGTATGCCAAAAGTGGGTCTGTAGTTACTATAGAATTCACTAAGAATAACTTCTTGAGGCGCTCGAGTGAGCACAACCACTGTGGTAACTTCCCCAACACAGCATGAATCCACAATCGACTGAGATTTGGTGCGGTAGAAGGAATGGATTTTATAGATATGGGTTTTTCTTGATCCATGGAAAGTATAGCCAAACTTTGGAGGCGCTTCATCTTTTGGATAGAGGCCCATAACTTATCCCGATCCTCCATACTTGCTAACTGGAAATTCAGCTTTTCGAGTTGGGATGACTTTCAATCTCCTCAATAATGTTTCCCCCAATTCTGACATGTTTCAATGCATGAAGGCAGGTAAATCCCCTTACACTAGTATTAATTGACACGAATAGCTCAAAATATATATTTTTACTAGATGCAAGTGGTGTGGCTATGGCTTCCAGGATAGGAGATTTGAGTCGACTCACAAGCAAATAGGTCATATGTTGTGGGCATGAGATCTCATGGAGCAATGATTCTGAATTGCATCCTATGGCTTTTAGGGTTTCCAGTCCACGTAGATTTTTCACAGATTTGGGGAGCTCTTGAATACCCGTATTCCTCAATCCTAAATACCTCAAATGATTTAAGTTCCTTATTTCACTTGGCAGCCGATCTATGTGAATACCTTTCCAGTCCAAAACTCTTAAAATCTCAAATTGGATAAAACAGAAGCCAATGAAAAAAGGCCAACTTGTTCAAACCAAATGTGGGAAGAGTGCAAAGGTAGACTTACTCATAAGAAATGGTATGTGCTCTCTGCTCTCTGTAATTATGGATCAAGAGATGTCGAGTTCATTCATCAAACTGGGTGTTCAGATCTGTTAAAGCGGACCCAAATTTCTCATCCACGGATATAGAGCGAGCAAGCTTGAGTACCACATCATGGACATGACATGCTTTGAATTGTCCAGCAAAGTATAAACCAGCAGTTCCGATCAAGTTCCTCTCAACTCCGGAAGGTATTCATATCCTACCTCCTCCATTGCAAATCCTTTGTGTGCAGCTATAAATCCCTCTGCTATTTATAATCTAATCAACATCCTTTATTTGATCTCATAGTCCTCAAGAAACATACAAGAATATAGGAAGCAATAAATGAGATGAGGGGACTGATCTTTATTGCTCAAAGATAGAATGCCCCTTACTCTTTCCAAGGATGGATTGTTAGCCACCTGCCAATTCATACCCTTCAGCACTTTCATCCATTCTCCTACTTCAATCGCTCTCTTAGATATCAGACCTCCTATAGCCACAATTGCAAGGGATAGGTCCTCACAATTTTTTGCTGAGTCTGCCTATCTTTTCCAACTCACGGCTAATTTTCTCATTTGGGGTTTTCAAAATGCTTTGTTTCAAAATAGGGATCAAGCTTCTTCCTCACCCTGGGGTTGGAGGTCATGCAATCTGCTCTCTACTTGACACGAGGAAACTACATTGCTCATTTGAGTTGTGAGGACATTTGTACTTCCATGATCACAATACGGTTTGAACTTCCATTTGTTAACCATCGTACGAGTACTTCAACATTTTTTTTGTATTACAACTAAATGTGCTTCCTCCAGGAAAGGATAAGCCAAGAGAGAATCCCCACCTTTCGAAATCGAATCTTTGAGCTTGTGGCTTCTTCTTTCTTTTGAATATCGTACTTATCTCTTCTTTCTGCAATTTCTTCGATTCGTGCTTTGATCCCTCAAATCTTGGCTCCTATTCGATGGCAAACTATAAGCTTCTTGTTGAAGAATCGACGCTGGCCCTCCATTTGAATCATGAATTTATTGAGGATATCTTCTGCATCATACACTACTTTTCTTACTTGTTCTACGCAAACTTTTACAAGGGAGTAAGTGCCTGTCCTTTTATCAGCATTGGTCAAGATGGCACGCGTGGTTCCAAGCTCATCCCTGAGCCAAACAATGTCTCTGCACACACCATAAAGGAGACAGACTTCACGGGTGAGCAACTCATCCAATTTCTCCAAATGGAATGTCGGGTGAGCAACTCATCCAATTTCTCTAAATGGAATGTCACTGCACCATCTGCCATCTCTCTCTCTCTCTAACGATTCCTTTGATGTCCAGCTGTTTCCCCAATGGATTTCCTCACTTTGTCCCCAAGTGCACAGAAATGTTGAGCAGATGAGAGAAACGACAGTGTTTCAAATGGTTGGGGTTGGAGAGATAGAGAAAGAGTGAGCAAGTGAGAGATAATTCTTAGTCCGCACTGTTGGCTGGATGAAGTGGAGACAGCATCAACATTGGCTTACACACGAGAGAGAGAGAGAGGCATTTGTGCCAGTCCATAGCCCAACCATATGTGTAGAGAGAGAACATTAGCCCCCCGCACACGAGAGAGAGACTTGTGCAAGCCCATAACCACAACTAAATGTTGCTCACATGAAACTCTTCCTTTATTTTGGGGGTGCTGGAAAAGAGGAAGCAGTTGGGGGGGAGGCATAGCCCGTACTAAATGTAGCTCACATGCAATTCGTCCTGTATCGGGATGTAGAGGCATGGGCATTGTGCTTTTTGGAAGAAGTTAGTCCCCACACGCCCTAATAGAAACTGCAAAAAGTGCACAAAGGTAGGGCCAAGAGTGGGTCGGATCAGGTCCTAATCCACCGAGATCTGGATTCAGATCCGGATCGGGTCGGATCAAAAAAATTATTTTGTAAATAATATAGAACAAAAAATACTAATTTATATATAAAATAATATATTATATTTTAATAATTGGGTCGGATTTGGATCGGATCCTCTTGCACCTAGATTTAATCTGAATTACTATTCGGATCCAAATTTTGGATTCATACCCAGATCCAAATGGGATCCGAAATTCGGGTTTCAGATTTAAACCGGGTAAAGTCTCAACCCTACACAGAGGCTGAAAGTCAAGTGGAGGCCAAATGGAATTCCCATTTAATTATTCAACGATTCCGTGCAAGTGTTACTCACTAATCAAGCTCCTTTTGTCCCTTTGGTATAAATCTTGGGAATACACTATTGTTTTGAGTTATTTCTTATCAGCTGCATTATGTGGACTCGGATACGTGTATAGCATTTGACATAGAGATGGGTGTGAAAAATAGTGATATGAAATTGACCTTCCAAACGTATTACATGTTTGTGCACCATTGAAAGAATGGAGCATGTGAGGTTTTAGGTGACAGTAAATATTTTTATTGTGATATTTCAATAGAAAAGATTTTTAAGTGTCGATGTTTCAGGTTTATGAAGTGTCTGACCCATAGCTCAAATTTTTTATTCCTATGTGGAAGAAAGCTCAGTGGAAGATGCTCAAAGAAATGAGGCAAATGAGTGCGATGGTGGTGGTTGAGGATGATTGTATGAATACCATTAAATGTAGGAAGGAGGAAAGAGTCTCATGGGTCTACAATAGACCTAGTTCGATATACCGGACATCTGCGTGCAGGTCAAGGTATCTTTTGTCCATGTTTAGAAGGAGCCAAATGGAGAAGCGGATGAATGTCCAAGCAGGGTGTTAATTTTTTTTAGCTGATAACCGTATCGTGTTAATAGTGGGTGGTTATGTTTTTGTTCATGGTGGGATCCTCCCACCGAATGGAGTTCTGGGAACATGGGGATCGCGATCCTAAAATTCTGGGAGTGGGGATCTAATTTGTTGGGGAACCACATCTACAATGTTATGGAACGCGTTCCGTGGGACAGTGGGAGTGAGATCCGTGCGGTAGCGAGAGCGAGCTCCGTTGTGAATATGCCATAACTCTCTCTCTTACACAATATGAATACTGAGCCCACACACAATATGAACATTGAGCCCATCCTGAAACTTGTGATTGGTAGTAAAACATCCATCTTTCGGGATGCGATTTTGTCATCATAGATTTCTCAACATATGTTTTGCTTAGTTCTCTATAGCTATGGAGAGCAAGGAAGACATGTGCATGTGTGATAAACAAATAAACAACAAATAAAGCAGGGCAGAGTCTGAAGCCAAGCAAGTTTTTCAGTAAAAAGCAAGTGGAGTGTTTAAGGGATTGAATGTTGTCCTCCTTTTTCCTTACTTTCCTCGCACTCCTTCCTTCTAACCAGGAAAGCCAGCCCACTCCAATATCGCATTTTACTAACTCGAGTCAGGAGAGAGTTAAATAAATTGAAGTAGTGGCAGAGCCAATAGAGAGCCTTGCCTTCATATCAATACAGTACCTACACACACGTGAGTATATACGCGAAAGTGATGAGACCGAATCCTCAAGAATCACATAAGAAGAGTAGTTGTACAATTTGAAGCATTTATCACCAAGCAAAAGCAAAAACTTAAACCTTACCTGTTCAAGTGCTGATTTGCCATGCTTCACGTTGCAGAATCCCAGCGCTGCAACTATAAGGAACACATGGAAAGAAGATGTTAATATTATCTCAAACTTACATCTGAATATTTCTATTTCCTTCCACTTTCTAAGAAATCAACTCTTCATCAATAAACACCAATAGATTTCAACTACCCCAAAAAACAGAACACCATGGGTTTCATGTGGACGTTATTGGAAGCTTTCATCCAACATCTTCAACTCCCTACATCCCTCCCCAAATGGTAATGCTATGAGCACGGTCCTCGTCAAAAAATGAATGCGCCAAGCATAATTTTTTGAGAGATTCAAGCGAGTGAAGCCACTGTGGCAACCTCCCTAAATTCCCATTTTAAGATTAGTTTTAGAAGATATAATGGGGGCGAAGACTTTTTCTCTGAAAGTGTAAGTTTTCCGTGGCGTATGCAAGTTACGTGTAAGTCATGGAGGTCGCTCATCTCCTTCCCTCCTCTAGGTTGAGGCAAACTCACCAGAGTTGTGTTCCTTACAACCGGGGGATAATGACATAGCCAAGCCCCTGCAGCAACTAATAGTTTATGGCTGGGCTGCTAAGGATCACATGACCGTAAGGGACAAAAGGGGCGAGTAGGGAATTTGTTATGTTATTTCTGCATGCTCGAGTTAATAAAAGTTCATAGGTGGATTCCTGGTTTTTTGAATTTTCTTCCTTCTCTATCTTCTATTCTCCTTAAAGGCTTCTCGTTCCATTAGAGTTTATGCAAAGTAAAGTGCTGATTCATGAAGAATAACCCTAATTTGCATCAACCCATTTCTTCGCCTCTACCAAAGCTCTGATTTTCCCCAAGACTATGTTTTCTTTTGAAGGGTCTTCTCACCCTTTGGTAGATGGCCCAAACATGTATTACAATGCCTTTTCATGGATATCACGGCACACTAATTCTTTTTTTTTTTTTTTGACAAGATTAAATCACAGCACACTAATTGCAGCTCTAAACAAGAACAAGATGCCAATTGTTACATGGGGGTTCTCGTTACTCAATTGGGGTGGCTGGAAATGCATGTTATGCTCATCAGGTGAAGAAACAGGATGCTCGAAGCTGCGACTTTGATGGGTTGGGAATAATTACTTTTCTAGATCCAAGCATTGGGGATTGCAGGTTTCTGGTTGGAATTAGTGATCTTCAGGGTACGACTGAGTCAGTGGAATGGATAGATAATGTCGTTAGTGATTGTATTTCTAGGTTTTTTTGGCGCTCTGTTATGTAGGGATGGGAGTTTTGCATATGGTAAATATAGTGTGTAATGGATGGATAGTGTTGTGGATGGTTCTTTTTCTAGGGTTTTGGGGTGTTGTGTGATGTGCTAAACTGTGGAGATTGCATATGGTTGGCATAAAGAGTATTGCATATAGTAGACAGCGAGTCTTATAGACAGTGTAAGATATGGTGGTCTTAAATAGGGAAGCGGGCTTAAGGATGGACATCAGATAGTCATTTAAACATTCACTGAGCTTATAATTAAGTATAGAATGTGAATCTAATATTCAGAAAGGTTCCTGGGTTGTTATCAATGGCACAGATTGGTTACTGTTACAGCTGGAACAAGCATTTGATTCACGTCACAATGGATAATTTTCCATTTCCCTGCACGTATTGATGTGCCTATGAGGAGGAACATTAGGCAATATGGAGGCCATTTCCTCTACCGCTTGTTCAGTAAGAAAAAGGTTTTACCACTTTCAAGATGTATTATATTGAATGAACTATAGAAAAGTTTGAAGTTCAACTTTGATGGGAGTTCTTTTGGTGAGCAGGCCCTGGCTTTGGAGGGATCCTTAAGGATTTTTCGGGAGACATTATCTTTTGTTATGCAGGACTGGGAGGAGTCTTAGCGGCCAATGAAGCAGAGATGGAAGCGGTTGCAAGAGCCTCGGAGTTTGTCATCCAAAAAGGTGTGACAGATCCTTTTAGTATTGAAGGGGACTCGTTAAATGTCATAAACTGGTGTTCCCTGATTTCTCGACCTCTGTTGCGGTTGAGAAAAAAACAGATGAAAAGTTTGGATCTGTGCTCCACTTTGCAAGTCTCTTTTCAACATGTATATAGGAGGCAAATTCTGCTGCTGATGGGCTTGCTAAGAAGGGTGCGACTCTTCCTTCTGTTTTCTTTTCTGATAAGTTATATTACACGAGGCTAGCTTATGATGGTTTTATACCATATTGGAAATAACAGTATGTTATATATCAAACATAACTCATCTAAAATATTATGTCTTTCTGAGCAACAATAGCAGCCTCAAAGCCATCTTTATGGCAGCCTCAAAGCCATCTTTATGGCTTGTGAGGCAGTTCTCTTGAAATTTGATGCGTAACTGATGTCAGGTCCGATTTTTTTAAAAAAATGCTTTGAACTATGCAGTGATTTATTTGATTCATTCCCTCTGGGAGCATTCATTTGTATAAATGTCTTTGAGTTTTCCCTATGCTTTTTCTAGTTTTTTTAGTTTTGTTATTTTCATTTCTTATAGCTTATGATTGCACTTCTGTGATGGTTCTTTTCCTTCCGTTCATCACTGATGTTTGCATGATGGTATTGATTCTTTTTTCTATTATATAATCATTTATAAGCAATCATGTTGCATTCTTGCCAGTGCATGTAACACACACATGCACCTGCGCACACACAAACAGAGAGAGAGAGAGAGAGAGAGAGAGATCATTGGATTTCTTGGCACCAAAAATGCAAGAAAGTATGATAATTTGAATTACAAAATCTCATTGATGAACATGGATGTGCCCAGCAGCAGCAAGACTGCAGTGGATTATGCCTTGGATTTTTCACTGCCTTTGTCATGCCTTGGATTTCTCACTCCCTTTGTCAATTTTTTGCTCCAAATTCCTTCTAACTACTTGCACTTTGAAAAACTTCCAAGAATGGTTAGAAACCAAGTAGTGCGCAGAAGAGTTCACCCCTGGAAATTAATTCAATACCTTCTTTCTCTTTCCTTCTCATTTGTGCAAGTTTGCTTGGGTTTTAACCTCCGACGTGCTGCCTTGTCGTGCTCCCAAATCACCAAGACAAGAACAAGAACCCTGATTATTTTAGATCTATGCAACCCAATTGCCCACCATTGACATAAAATAGTTTGATTTGCTTGACTTGTTGGACTTTGTATAGGTCTTCTCCTTCATTTGGTCTCAACCTTGTAATGAATTCATCTGACATGTCTCCTAGATGCAAAAAGTGGAGCGAAGCAAGGTGTATAAAACTTTCATCCAACTTCGTCAACTTCTTGCAATGAGAGATGGCAAGGTTTTGGAGGAGAGGCATGCATCCCTCTTGTATCCCTCCCCACCATTCCAATTCTTCTAAGTTCTCAAATGCAAGATGGGTAAGTTTGGGGAATCCATATATACCATCACTCCCCATTTTCTTCCCATTGTATGCCTTAGAAAGCAAGAGTTCAGCTAAATTGGGCAATGACTGTAGGGCCACAAGTGGGTCTTCAGTTAGTGTAGAACTCACTAAGGATAACTTCTTGATGCTCTTGAGCGAGCACATCCACTGTGGTAACTTCCCCAACGCAGCATGAATCCACAATTGACTGAGATGTGGTGGGGCAGACGGCATAGATTTTATAGATATGGGTTTGTCTTGATTCATGGAAAGTATAGCCAAACTTCTAAGGTGCTTCATCTTTTGGATAGATGCCCACAACTTATCCCCATCCTCCATATTTGCTAACTGGAAATTTAGTTTTTCGAGTTGGGATAGCTTTTCAATCTCCTCAATAAAGTTTCCCTCAATTCTGACATGTTTCATTGCACGAAGGCGGGTAAATCCCCCTACATTAGTATTAATTGACACGAATCGCTCAAAATATACATTTTTACCAGATGCAAGTAATGCGGCTATGCCTTCCAGGATAGGTGATTTGAGTCGACTCACAAGCAAATAGGTCAAATTTTGTAGGTATGAGATCTCACGGGGCAATGATTCTAAATTACATCCAATGGCATTTAGGGTTTCCAGTCTACAAAGATTTTTCACAGATTTGGGGAGCTCTCGAATACCTGTATTCCTCTATCCTAAATACCTCAAATGAACTAAGTTCCCTATTTCACTTGGCAGCCGATCCATGTGAATACCTTTCAAGTCCAAAACTCTTAAAAATGTCAGATTGGATAAAATAGAAGGCAACGAAAAAGGCAACTTGGTCAAACCAAAAGTGAGAAGAGTGCGAAGGTTAGACTTACTCATAAGAAATGGTATGGTCTCCCCGTAGTTATGAATCGAAAGACGTCGAGTTCGGTCATCAAACTGGGTGTTCAGATCTGTTAAAGCAGACCCAAATTTCTCATTCCTGGAAATGGAGAGAGCCAGCTTGAGTACCACATCATGGACTCGACATGATTGGAATTTTCCAGCCAAATATAAACCAGCAGTTTGGATCAAGTTCCTCTCAATTAACTCCTTAAGATATTCATATGCTACCTCCTCCATCGCTAATCCTTGGCGTGCAGCTATAAATCCCTCTGCCATCCATACTCTAATCAACAGGCTTTGTTTGATCTCATAGTCCTCAGGAAACATACAAGAATATAGGAAGCAATATTTGAGGTTAGGGGACAGATCTTTATAGCTCAAAGATAGAATACTCCTTACTCTTTCCAAGGAGGGATTGTTAGCCAACTCCCAGTTGATACTCTTCAGCACTTTCATCCATTCGCCTACTTCAATCGCTCTCTTAGATATCAGACCTCCCATAGCCACAATTGCAAGGGGTAGGCCCTCACAATTTTTCACTATGAGTCTTCCTACCTCTTCCAACTCACTGTTAATTTTTTTCACATCAGGTTTTCGAAATGCTCTGTTACAAAATAGGGACCAAGCTTCTTCCTCAGCCAGGGGTTGAAGGTTATGCAGTCTGCTCTCTACTTGGACAGAGGAAGCTACATTGCTCATTCGTGTTGTGAAGACAATCCTACTTCCATGATCACAATCCGGCAAAAGAACACTTAGCCCATTCCAAACATCTTCACTCCATATATCATCTAACACGAGGAGACACCTCTTCTCTCGTAAATAAAAGTTGAGAGTAGCTTGCAGCCGTCGATCATCCATGGCATCTACCATGGTTGGGATTAACTCATTTCTATCATCATACATCCCGCTCAATATGGCTCTCATAAGAGGCCCCTGTCTAAAGGACTGTGATACTGTAACCCAAGAACGGCAATCAAAGTGCCTTTTAATCACTTCTGCATTAAAAACTTTCTTAGCAAGAGTTGTTTTCCCTAGTCCACCCATCCCCACCACCGAAATCACCTCAAGCTTTGGATGTCCATTCGTTAACGATCGTACCAGTACTTCAGCATCTTTTTGTATTCCAACTATATGTGCTTCCTGAAGGAAAGGATAAGCCAAGAGAGGATCCCCACCTTTCAAAATCGCATCTGTTGAGCTTGTCCCTTCTTCTTTCCTTTGAATATCATACTTATCTCTCCGCTCTGCAATTTCTTGGATTCGCACTTTAATCCCTCGAAGCTTGGCTCCTATTCAATGTCGAATTACAAGCTTCTTGTTGAAGAATCCACGCTGGCCCTCCATTCGAATCATGAATTCATCAAGGATATCTTCTGCATCATACACTACTTCTCTTACTTGCTCTACCCAAACTTTTACAAGGGAGTCACTACTTTTCCTTTTATCTGCATCGGCCAAGAAGGCACGCATGGTTCCAAGCTCATCCCTAAGCCAAACAATGTCTCTGCGCACACCATAAAGGAGATGGACTTCATGGGTGAGCAACTCATTCAGTTTCTCTAAAAAGAATGTCACTGCACCATCTGCCATATCTCTCTCTCTCTCTCTCTCTCTCTCTCTCTCAGGATTCCTTGGATGTCTAGCTGTTTTCCCAAAGGACTTCCATCCCAAATTGTACAGAAATGGTGAGAAGGTGAGAGAAACTAGAGTGTTTCAAATGGTTGGTGTTGGAGAGAGAGAGAAAAACTCCTAGCAATAGTGAGAGAAAAAACTTTGTCCACACTGGTGGCTGGATGAAAGGGAGACTCTGAGAGTGCCTTTGTGTATTGGACTTTGTCCCAGGAAGAACCTGTGCAAGTCCATATTCCCAACTAAATGCAGCTCACATGAAATTCTTCTTTTATTGGAATGTAGAGCGCAGCTCACCTCAAATTCTTTCTTTATTGGGATGTGAAGGCATGGGCTTTGTGCGTTTGGGAAGATCTTAGTCCACATGCAAATGATGGAAACTGCAAAAAGTGAACACAGGCTTAAAGTCAAGTGGAGGCCAAAGACGGTTCCCACTTGCTCATCCGCGTAAATATTACACAATAGTCAAGCTCATCAATTGAAGTTTGGGCCCTTTGTTAGGGGTCGCCGGACCAGATGCGGGTCTGAATAGGATACGGTCCAGGTTCTGAACTCGGACCCGACCTTTTGGGTCAAAAATTTTTGACCCATATTTGGACCCGAGGTTGGGTCTACCCGTCATGTCTCGGATCTAGTCGGGTCTATTGCCACCCACAACCCTTTGGGATAAATTATGGGAATACATTATTGGTCCTAATTAAAATAGTTATTTCTTGTAACAACCCTTTGGGATAAATCCTGGGAATACATTATTGGTCGTAGTTAAAATAGTTACTTCTTGTCACTACATTATGTGGACATGGACGTGTGTGAGTTAGCGTCTGATATGGACATGAACTGACCTTCCAGACCTCATACAAGTTACAATGCAGAATCATTTAGATGTTAAATCGAGTGGTTATGAGTGTTATTGATTTGACTCATAACTTCAAAAAAAAAGTTCTTCAAACACACTATAAGCTATCTATTTTGACATCTCATTACCAGTAGCAATTGAAACATCCTTATATGAAAAATAAATTATCTTATAGCATACAGTCCCAACCTCTCATCAAAACATCCTCTTATTTTCAAGTGGAAAATTTATCGAAATACACCTCATTGGCATTTACCTTAGGTAAATTATTAAATAGTTAATATCTTAGGTGTATTTTGGCAAATTTCTTTTTACAAATTATATTTAATTGTCAAGGGCGATGAAATTTTGAAGCCGATCAATTATTAATTTTTGGTGTATAAAATATGAAGGAAAAAGTTTATATAATGTTGCAACCTTATAATGTAGAGCTAAGGATGCACTTCAAAACTCCATCAGAAAAGGTAGTTTTAATGCTGAAAAACCCTTTCATCGATCATCTCGGCATCGAGATGTATAACCATGAAAAATAAAAAGATTTTAAGTCTCAGAAATATGGCACAATTTTACAACATATTATCTACACCATCCATTTTCAAGATTTTCATGTTTATATATCTACTTGATTTTAACCATTTTTAAATTTTAAAATTTTATAATTG